TTCCTTCAGCGTAAAGCAAGTTGTTATTATAATAGATATACGAGATTTGGAGTTTGAACCTGAAGTGCTTTCCCATGAATTTAGCTATACCTTCTTCACTTGTAATAAAATCTATTATTTCTTTATAAATTGTAAAATAATGTAGTGACTCGCCATTTCTTTTAAGCAATTCGATCAGCGTGGTTTATTGCCTAAAATGCTCACAAATCGCGCTCATTTATTGGGCAACAATAGACGTTAAGGAGGCTTCATTATTATTATAATTGTAAAAAAATATTTAGTAATAGAAGAATTAGAATTTAATATAATAAGATCTTTCCTATAGGAAAATGTAGATATTTATATATGTGCATATGTATATAATACTAGCGTTTCACCCTCGCTTCGCTTGGGTTTGTCCCTAGATTGCTTCCCCATATAAATTTTCATCTCTATTTTCACCTCCTTGAGGGATTATTTCCGAAATAAAAACTATCCTATGTCCTTTCTAGGGTCTCAAACTATCTTGTTACCAAATTTCAACCAAATCGGTAGTTTCGGAGCTTATTCGGTAAAAAAAAATCTATGATAAATTAGTTTTTATTTTTAAACCTTTACTTTGAATAATTGTATATAAACAGGATCAATTTTAGTTTACTGAAAACCTTTTAGGAATATACTATTTACATCATTACAACAACATCTGTAACAAGAAAAAATAATATTTCTTAAATTTTTATTTTCATACAAAAATAAAAAAAAATTTTTTGCACCTTCTAAACTTTAAAGTTCTAGCATCTGGCCAAGTTTAAATGACTAAGCGTGGCTCCCTACACACATCCAGCCGTCCCCCTCCACCCCTCCCCCTCAACCAGACACGCACTTTCTTTTTTGCTAATGCTGGACTATTACCGTTTAGAAAGTGCAATAAAAATATTTTTATTTTTGTTAAATTTAAGATATAATTTTTTTTCTTACAGATGTTGTTATGTTGTAAATAGTGTATTCCCAAAAGGTTTTCAGTAAATTAAAAATGACCCTGTATACCGTACTACTCTGCGATCGTCGATTTATTAGGTTATTATTTTATAGAATCAGCGTTTGAAAAAACCTGAATGGGCTTTATGACTAGAAAATTTTCATAATATTGAGAGTCTATATTCTCTTTGTTTTATATAAGATTCTATTGTCATTTATAGAAAAATGTAATACAAAAAATTTCGTCATTTTATATCGTTTTTTATTTGAAAGGTTTGTTTTATTATTATAGCAATATCTTATTTAAACAAATAAAATTGAACTGTCTGTTTGTAATGTCAAAATAACAGCTTTTTACTAAATGCATATGAAATTATATACCGTACTGTTGGAACAAAAATTTGTTTTTATTTTTATTGTCTGTCTGTCCATCTGTCTGTCCGTCCGTTTGTTCCGGCTAATCTCCGAAACGGCTGGACCCATACAAACGGGACCTTCACTGGCAGATAGCTGATGTTATGAGGAGTAACTTAGGCTACTTTTCTTTTAGAAAAAGAATCAGGGTTCCGCGCCAAAAAATCCGCGTACCTAGGGACGCACCAGAGCAAAGCGAGGGTAAGACGCTAGTTCAAACAATAAAGAAATAAATACTTAACTGTACACGTCTCTGCCCACCATAATTATTAAACTTCAAAAAGTATTTAAATCTAAAATATGAAAGATTAGCTACAAATTTCCATTCCATCCCACTTCAGAGTATCAAACTGTCAGTTAGTGTGTCACGCTACCTACGATCATGTTGTTGACGTGAAACGTGAACTAACAAGTGGTGACAGATATCGATATTCCGCTATTACTTAACAAAATATACCTTTAGATAAACTTAGTTTAGGCACTGGTAGGCCAGTAGTAATGCGCTCGCTTAGGAAACCGAGTGAAGCGGGTTCAAATCCCAGGTCTCGCACCTCTGATATTTTCATGTGCGAATCATTTCTAACACAATTACCACTTACTTGGTGAAGGAAAACATCACATTAGTAAGACGTCCCAAAATTATATATTAATATTTAATATAAACTTATAATAAGCATTCTTAGATTTACATGAATATTTGACACTTAAAATAAAGCTTTACGGACTGTTTTATTTTTACTAGTCCAATGGTCGAAATCGACCATAATCTTTTTTTTAAATCACTAAAGCTCGTCAATACTAAACGAAAAAAAATAGATTGACAAACAGAAGAGAAAAAGGTACTGAACTTTGCCTATTTATATATAGATTTTGCCTTTTTTCTCTGACATTTCCGATGCTTTACAACAAAAAACGACATCAAATACGAGAGACAAGGATAAGATTTTTGACATCTTTCAAGTTACAATTACATAAATACATATGTAACCTTTCGTCAGAATGCGATAGAATTTTGAAAAACATCGCATATCAAGCATTCACGAATAAAAAAACTAAGTTGCTCATAAATAAGACGTAATTAAATAAGTAATCATGATAGTAATTTTAAAGTTGTTATAAAAAAAGTTCAAGAAATTTCTTTAAAGCATTCATGATGTCGCCCGCATATTTCAATTTAAGTCTAAAACTTCGGAACGAGAACCCCTCTTTGTATGAAAGCGTACAGTACAGAGAGTTCAATTTATAATGGATTAAATGAATTTATTATATTATAATTTGAATCTAAAAATACATATTCTGTACAAAAATATTATATGTCTTAGAAAACTATATAACATGTTTTAGACGGACAAACATAAATGCGGCTCGTCACAATAAAATGAGCTCAAACTCAAAGGGTTTCCTGAAGAGTTCCTCCACACTATCCACCTCTTTCCTCTATCATCAGATATGCTTGATGATACCATTTTTTTATACTTTAATTAAAATCTTTATAAAGTTTCAAAGCATTAAGGCAATTAGGAGTAGTTAGAAATTTATTTTGACAAGTGAAAATAATAAAAGGTAGTTAAAAGCAAGAAAATTGTGTCAAAAATAACATACGTAACTCTCTTTTATGCGAACTCTACAAACAGTTAACCTACTTTTAAGATGCTAAATCGTACAAATAACATTGAAATCCGTATAATATTATTATATACTATAGATACAATTTTACTCTCATTGCAAAAATTCTAAAAAAAATTCAATTTTACTTCTATTTCATTTCAAACCGAATCAATATACTAAGATTTGAGTCCATTAAGATTTTAAATTCAATACATAGATTTATTTTGTTCATATGCATCATATGGTGAAGTAAAGTGTAAATCACAGCAACATTCATATGGAAACTCGATACTGAACATCGTGTGAAAGCTTCATTACACGCTGTCACGCTGTTAATCACGTCGTCTAACGATCACTGTCACGTTTTGACGTATTCGATGCCGTATCACGTCAACTGTCTGGTGTAGAATAGTTAATCAAGTTGAGCTTTCCTGATACTACTGCTAACGTCAAATGGATATTCTTAGAAAGTTTTTGTTCAAGCTCATCTCTTGTGTTTAATATGATAGATACTATAAGCAGATGTCAGCATTATAATATCTGTACTTAAATAACTATATATAATAAAAATAACATAATACTAAAATTATGAACGATAAAGTTGTTACCTAAAACCTTTCATTTCTAGTAAAAGCTCTGATTAAATTGCTAAATTTCAATTAAACGTTAATTAAACTTAAAAAAAACTTTTCAAAGTGAAACTCGTTTAGGCGCGCCATGAGAACCAAAAAAAGGATTTGTATTACAAATTTTATAACGGAAACGGAAATAAATTAATAGTCAATTAAAAATAAAACACCGCAAACCTTAAAAAGTAAGGCATTTATCTACAAGAGCCGTTATACACAATAATAAGTTATAATATTATAATTACCGCGCAAAAAAGTGAACCAAATAAATGTATTAAAAAACTCCCTAACTCTTGGCTTTTACTAAAAAATCCTAATAAAAAACCTCAGTAACTAAACTTAGTCCGACTCGGATTCGAATGTAGAACCTCTGCATTTGCAGCCGTAAATGTTAGCCACTAGGCCATGTAGGCTTTTACATGAACACTAATGAGATATGAAAACAATTTACGAAAACAAATATGGAATCTGTTTGGTGTTTTTACGATTTTCTGTGTTTGACAGAGTTACGCTCAATTTAGCTGTGAAGCACACTTACGTAGTCCGAGAGGTGACGGCGGATTTAATTAGAATCTGAGTTTTGTTTGCCCTTGTTTAAGTGATTCGAGCCCGTACTATCAAGGACTTTGAAGGCGGAAAGTTAGAAATATAATAATTAAGTGAAGCGCAATATACCTTAAATTTAAAATTAATACCTTATTAGTAAAGGTCAAGAGTTCGATTTCTCGTTAATGACGTATTTAATTACAAAGCACCTGGGCGACCGAGCTACGCTCGAAGTTTTTGGCCAAAAGTACAATTTTCTTTTTTTTAAACTAAAAACTTGAATAAATAAAAAAAAAACAAAAGTAAAAACGTTTTGTCCGACCGTGATTTGAACCCGGACAACTGTGCTTGTCATTCTTACGCCTTAGCCGCTTAACCACAATGCTTATGCCCGAGCGTGCAAAATTAGCGACCATATTTTGCGTTCGAAAGAAAACTTGAAAATACGTGTTTTACCAGACATTAGACTAATCTAGATCGATTTTCGCCCCAGAAAACCATCAAACACCGAAAATGAGATATTTTCCCGCAATAAAAAGTATCCTATATGTTCACCCGGAAACCCGCTATCGTCATACCAAATGTCCAGTGGTTTTCTCGTGGTGCGGTCACAGACAGACAAAAAAATCTACAAACTATACATAGATTCGGCTCAGTTAGAATTTTATTATTAGTTATAGTTGACCGTGACACTTAATAGTATGAACACTAGATACCAAAAAAATGCATATGACATAATAAGCTTTAAGCCACTTAGCCAAAACTTAGTTATAAATTCTAGCGAGCTGAAGAGGATAATAATATATTAAATTTAGGCAAACATTCGATAAAAATAAAAAACCTAAAATGAGCGAAGAGTGGGTATTATATCAAAAACGGAGACTTAGAAACCGTCTCATAAGCCAAAAGGGATGTGCCAATGCGTCAGAAGAAAATAACCAAAAATTCAAAGCGGCAGATATAAAGGTGCCGCTATTTATATCTAATGTGGACAGAGAGGTCTCAGAGCAAGATATTATTAATTATGTATATGGAAAAACAAAGGAAAAAGTTTCATTAGAGAGAATTAACATGAAAAGGCAGAAGGATTATAATGCATATAAAGTTTATGTAACAAAGCATAAAATGGATACTTTCTTAGACGATAAACTGTGGCCCATTGGCATAACCTTTAGGCGTTTTGTGAATTTTCACGAAAAACGGAAAAATATGGAAGTTGTAAAAACAGTAGAAAATAAGAGATAATAATAAAATAAACTATCATAATATATAATAATTAATTAAATTGAATATGAATAATATAAATAAAATTATTAGTTTTAACTGTAAATCACTCAAGAGGTCATTAGAGGGTGTAAAAGAACTGTGTACATCTGCGGATATCGTAGCCCTGCAGGAAACATGGTTGATGCCTCATGACCTACCAGTACTGAGTACGATAAGCGACAGCTTTGGATGGACTGGTACCTCTGCTGTGGATACTTCGGTGGGCCTAATCAGTGGAAGGCCGTATGGTGGTGTAGCGTTATTGTGGCGCAAAAGTGTGTTTGAAACAGTGTCAGTGGTAGAATGTGACAACGTGCGTATTTGTGCCATCAAAATAACTGTAAGTAATAGATCGGTAATTATTTTTAGTGTATATATGCCTACTAACTCTTATGACAATCTACTAGAATTTAGTAATTGTCTAAGTACAATCAGGTCGGTCATAGAAATACAAGAAAGTAATGGAATTGAAGCTTTCTATATATTAGGGGACTTTAATGCTCATCCCAATGAGCTATTTTACAATGAAATGTTAGATTTTTGTGTTGATCAAAATTGGATATGTGTGGATTTAAACATGTGTAGTAGAAATACATTTACTTTTTGTAGTGAAGTTCATGGGTGTAAACGATGGTTAGATCACTGCATCGTCACTAAATCAGCTTTACAAACGGTTATTAGCGTATCAGTACAATATGACATGTATTGGTCTGACCATTATCCAATTGTATTAGAATGTAGTATAAATAGTTTAAAACCGAAAATTGTACAGCCGAAAATGAGCTCTTTAAATTGTGTTATATGGGGTGAGAGGAATTTTAAACAGATAAACCAATATCATGACCTGTGTAACTCTAATTTGTCAATGATAAATCCACAAGAACTTAGTGAATGTTGCGATAATTTGTGTAAAAAAACAGAACATCACGCTATCTTAGATAAAATGTATAGCAATATTATTAACACACTATCAGCGGCCGCTAGGCGCACGTACAGTGGTAAATGTAAAAAAAGGGGAGGCTATGTTACGGGATGGAATAGGCACGTCGCGGGACCGCATTGTGAGGCGCGGCTTAAATTTCAAATGTGGATGTTAGCGGGGCAACCGACTAGTGGTCACGTTTTCAATGAAATGGTAGAGTCTAGGAGACATTTTAAGGCAAAATTAAAATGGTGTCAAAACCGACAGGAACAACTTCAAATGGACATTCTCGCGTCAGATCACTTATCCAAAGATTTTAAGAGTTTCTGGAAGAACACTAATAAAATGAAAACTAGGCCGAGTTTACCCGTGAGTGTAGATGGTCTTTCCGACCATAAAGAAATTGCTGATGCATTTAGGTCGCGCTTCACTATGCGATCACCTCTGGGTTCCACGTTGAATAAGGTGAACGATGCTGAGACTATCACGGCGAGCGGGAGTGAAAAGATTACGGAAAAAATGGTGGCACAAATAATTAAAGAAATGGTTCGTGGAAAATCACCTGGTCACGATAATCTCAGCATTGAACACTTTAAGTATGCGGGAGTTCATCTGCCTCGAGTTCTCGCACTGTTTTTCAATCTGTGTCTAAATCATTCATATTTACCGGAGCCGCTTATGCGGACTACTGTAGTACCAATAGTTAAGAACAAGACTGGTGACACGTCCGATATGAGCAATTATCGCCCCATCTCGCTTGCTACCACCGCAGCTAAAATACTTGACAGTGTGATAAATGGCAGGCTATATAAGCACGTTTCTTTGCAAGATGCCCAATTCGGCTTTAGATCAGGTCTGTCGACAGAAAGCGCTATTCTTAGTCTGAAGCATACTGTCAAGTACTATACTGCAAGGCGTACGCCGGTATATGCGTGTTTCCTGGATTTATCTAAGGCATTTGATCTTGTTTCATATGATGTACTTTGGAGCAAGTTAAAGGACGCAGGTATACCGGCGGAGTATACGTCCCTTTTGAAATACTGGTATGCTAACCAGAGAAATCAAGTAAGATGGGTCGGTGCACTGTCGGATGAATACAGATTGGAGTGCGGAGTGAGACAGGGAGGTTTGAGTTCACCCTTACTTTTCAACCTGTACATTGACCAACTCGTGGAGGAATTGAGTAACACACATGTCGGCTGTCACATTGACGACACCTGTGTCAATAATCTAAGCTACGCAGACGACATGGTCTTGCTCAGTCCTTCCATAGCCGGCTTAAGAAAACTGATAGCTACCTGTGAGACTTACGCAAAGGTGCATGGCTTAGCATACAACTCAAAAAAGAGTGAAATACTTGTGTTTAAGTGTCAAAAATTAAAACCACGCCATGTCCCGTTCGTGAGTCTAAATGGTGTATCGCTGAACGTTGTCGAGAAATTTAAGTATCTTGGTCACATTATTACTAGCGATCTACGGGATGATGATGACATTGAGAGGGAACGCAGGGCGTTGGCGGTTAGGAGCAATATGGTCGTCCGCAGATTTGCTCGGTGTACGAAGGACGTCAAAATAACACTATTTAAAGCGTTCTGTCAGTCCTTTTATACCTGTAGTTTGTGGGTGGCATATTCGCGCCGGGCCTACAACGCCTTGCGTGTGCAATATAATAATGCCTTTAGAATGCTGTTGGGGCTGTCGTGGCGTTGTAGTGCTTCAAAGATGTTCGCAGAAGCACACACAGATGGGTTTCATGCCATTATGCGCAAGAAAGCTATTTCTTTGATGCAGCGTCTACGCGATAGCAACAACAGTATTTTAAAGTGTATTTCGGCCAGAATGGACTGCCCCTTTCAGAAACACTGGATGGAGTTGGCCATTGGACTAAGATAAATAAAGAATAAATAAGTAATATTTTATGCAAAAAATACTAACAATACTAACATAGTATTAAGTATAATTGTTACTAACCAATTAACAATATATGGATGTACTTACGTCTGAAATAAAGATTATTATTATTATTATTATTATTATTTAAATAAACCTATAATATTTTTTCGCAGTTTCTGGTTCCTGAAGTTTGAATGCTTTACAGTAAACATCTCCAGTCTTTCCTGTGATCATCAAAACACTGAAAAGGCCAGAAATAAAAAATAAAATAAAATAAGTTTTATGTAGAGCTCAAGAGAAAGCTACCATGTGCGGGCATCGAACCAAGACCCACCAATTTTATACAAATATCCATTGCACCGAAAAATTAAAGTACGAATAAAATACTAGATTATTTACACCAACCTTTTTACGTCATGTAATGACTATATCAGAATCCTTCGAGTTAAATAAATTTATTTTTCAACTTCTCGTATTTGCGGCGGTGATTTAACAGTCATTTTGTTATAGATAATTGAAACAAAGCTTTCAAAATAAATAATCATCCATCATCCCTTAAACAATGTAATATACTTTTACTAGCGGACCCGACAGACGTTGTCCTGTCTACACGTCTTTAATTTGAAAATTTCAAACTTTTTTTAATGAACTAAAACATTCTGGACCATTTTGATGAAAATTATTATTCAAATTGTGAATCTAAACCATTCTCAGATCCCCTTGAACACACACAAAAAATTTCATCAAAATCGGTCCAGTCGTTTGAGAGAAGTTCAGTGACATACACACTCACAGAAGAATTATATATATAAAGATAAGTAAGATATTAAAAAGGGATGAATACAATACAATACTTTGCAAACAAAACCGCGTGCAAAAATTAGCAATTTTAGAACCGTAATAGATAATATTATAGGCTAAAAACAATTTTTATAGTATGAAAATAATTTATAGAATAGTGGCTTTTTATAGGTAGCGTTGTGGTAACGCGCTCGCTTGGAAAACCGAGTGACGCGGGTTCAAATCCCGGGTCTCGCACCTCTGATATGTTCATGCGCGAATTATTTCTAACGTGATCACCACTTGTTTTACGGTGAAGGAAAACATCGTGAGGAAACCTGATTGTCTGAGAGAACTTGGCAAGTTTTTGAAATTGTATAGATTTAAAATCAGACATTTTAGAACAAATAGATTTCATATATAGTTAATAGTTTATATTACTTCGGTTGTAGCAAGCAAGTGTGAAACTATAACATTGGCGGTAATGACTCAGAAACTATTTGCCTTATAAACCTAATTTAGTATGAAAATACGGGTTTTAGTCAGCGTCTTAGCAATTTGAGTTCATGTTGGTATAATAATAACTTTTAACTTCAAAATAATAACTTTTAAGTGAAAACTACCAGGTTTTCAAAAACAGTTTAAAAGATATATTTTTAAATAAATAGAATGGACCCTTGAGTATTTATACTACAAATATACATAGAAAACAGACAACTTAATTAAGAATCTCCAATATTAAAGTCAGTGAAATTCAGAATTTGTTATTACTAGTTTTCCCACAGTAGTCAAAATTCGAGTATAATAATTATTGAAAATTTGAGAAAAACATACATATATGAATAGGATTTAGCTATCTATATAATAAAATATTTTCAAATATTTTATTTATCGTTTGACAAACAGAGAAATGGTACTGACAGTTTAGTTTTGTCATTGCCTATTTACATATAGAAATATATTATGTACGTGAAAGGTAAAAGGTAGGATATACTTAAGGACTGAGGGATGCTAGATCAAATAACCATTAACTACCTACTATATATATAAAAATCAATTGCCGTTCGTTAATCTCGTTTAAGCATTTTTTTTAATGTTTTATTGGGGGTATTGCCAGTAATATCAGGGGAGTGGTTTAAGTATAAAAAAAATTGGGAAGACCCGTAAGAACAGGTGGAAAATCGAAAAGTTCAGAATTATTAATTATTTTCTATAGGATTGACTACTTCGGAATACTTTTAATTAATGGTGTTAGTGGTGTATCTATTATCTACATCTACAACAATGCGTCAAGTTTAAGTTGGAAAAAAATAATTAAAGCTATACGTATAAAATTATATACATATCCATTCTATACTAACCTTTAAAACGTATCTAGGGA